GAAGGGGAAATAAAATAAGAACCAAGAGACTCATGTAATGGTGCAAGATCCCAATGATGAATGTAACTGTATTGTATACCTAAAATGTACCAATAAAGTTAATGGGGGGGGGAGAGAAAAGAATAAATTTTCCAAACTCTGTTTTTACACTGAAAAAAAAATAGCTGAGATATAGGACAGCAAACAGAACTTTGGGCTGAGCTAGAGATGTCCTGCCCTATTGTCTTCTACTTAAAGGTAGAAGAGCAGAAGGCAAGGCTGTGGACATTTGGCTATATATTTATAATAGCTAGGATGGGTAAGTGGCAGGCAGCTCTTAGTATCTTCAGTAGAGAGTAGAATTACTAAACACAAGAAACACTGAATAATACATAAGACAACTATTTCACATGACTTGGATATGAAAAATAACTAAAGCAAAGATAAACTATCAAATATGAGATGTCATCCCTTCCAGTAGCCATTAGCAAAATGCTTCTTAGGTGTGTTCATCCCAGGCATGGTGGTGCACACCTGTAATTTCAGCACTCTGGGAGGCTGAGGCAGAAGAATGGCAAGTTGAAGCCAGCCTGGGCAATTTAGTGACTTAGCAAGTAAAAACTACAAAAAAAGGGCTGGGGACGTAGCTCAGCACGAATTCCCTGGGTTCATTCTCAGTAGTGGGAAAAAAACAAAATAAACATACAAAAAAACTGCTCAAGGGCTGTGTTTCTCAAACTACTGTGCACACAAATCACCTGAGAATCATACTAAAATGCAGATTCTGAGTTGGTAATTCTGGAGCAAGAACCATAAAGCTCCCAGAAGATGTTGTTGATGCTATCAGCCCAGGGACTAATTTTGGACATTATTTTCTTATAGGCTCTGAGCCAAAGTCCGGACAAGAGCATATAGGAATCTCTGATTAAACAAATATTAGTAAAATTCTTTCATGTAATATTTTGCACAACTCTTAATATGCTAAAGTGACTGTGAAACTCCAAACTTGGGAGATGAGAAGATTTACTAAAATTAACTTTTTTTTTTTTTGGTACTGGGGATCGAACTCAGGTACTTATGCTTGCAAGGCAGGCAGCCGAACCACTGAGCTAAATCCCCAGCCCCTAAAATTAACTGTTTTTGAACCTACTAGATCAGTGGTAGTGAACCTATGGCACATGTGCCACAGCAGGCTGTTTGTATCATTGAAAGGTCTAAAAGGTTTGCCATCACTACTAGGGCACAGGAACTCCTTTTTTTTCCTGGAGCACCTATCAATACCACATAGAAAACTGGAGGAAAACCTTTCTTAAGAAACTCTAAAAGCCTGTGCAAAAGTTGGTCGTCAGTCCCACATGACCTGGGGCTTTCTCTTCTCTTTAATCAAATCTAATAGTGAAAAAGAGATTGATTATGTTAGCATTCTATTGCTATGAAAAAAAGCCTGAGAAAATCAACTTAAAGGAGGAAGGATTTTTTTGGTTCATAGTTTTAGCCAATGGTTGCTTAACCTGGTGGGTTTTGAGCCTGAAGTGAGGCCATCAATCATGGCAGAAACATATGATAGAGGAATCCTACTCACCTTGTTGCAGCCAGGAAATGAAGAGAAACAAAAGAGTTGAGGACAACATATAGCCTTCAAGAGCACACCACAAAGCACCTACTTCCTCCAACTAGGCCTCACCTCCTGAAGGTTCTATTAGCTCCCAATAATGCCATCAGTTGACAGCCAAGCCTTTGGTGGATGGGCTTGCAGGGGTGGGCATTTCAGATCTAAACCATAGCAACTATAAAGAGGTACCTCTTATATAAGTATGATATTCCTTTCACTTTACTTCTAGGTAAGGGCATCTTTTCCTGGAGTGAATGAGAAGTTCCTGAGTGAATACTGCTTTTCAGGTGCCTACATCCTCTCCCTCCTTCTGCAAGGCTATCACTTTACAGACAATTCCTGGAAGCACGTTCATTTTATGGGCAAGGTAATTTGGGTAACTATTTGATTGTGGGAAAGTTGAGTGTTTGTGGGGAAGTTTGGTGGTAGTGACTGAAGTAGGTTTGGGCTTTAAAAGGTGAGTCAAGTTTTGCCCTATTTTGTTTTGTTCTACCATTCCACTCAAGCTGGCATTCTGTGTCAACCCCTTCTAGGAATATCAGTGAGGTATGGGTACCTCTCTAAGGAGAGCTACTTGCATCAGAAGCATCTTTCTGCCCACAGAATAGACAGTAATTTTTATAAAGCAACAAAAAAAAATCACAAATTAAAGTAATGTAACAGATTTCAGTAACCATAGTGGTTTTGTATACTAACTCTCCCTAAAGCCCCTGCCCCATGCCAGAAAACGATGATTATAGTTTCTAAGAAGAAGTAAAGGCTTTTTCAGTTGTTTCCAACAAAGGCTGACCAACCTGACATTGCTGTTTAAAGAAAGGGACTGAGTAACTGTGAATGGGGTCATTGTTCAGAAGCCAGGTTTAGCATGAGCCTTGAAGAAGTAGCCTCCTTGCTGTGCCTCACCATAGCGCCACCTACAGGTATTCATTAGCTGTGTGACACATTCTTGAAAAATAGCAAGAGCAGTATTTCTCTGCGTTTTAAAACCAATGTCCACTAATGACAAAAAGATTTTACCGTTTTAAAAATATAGTGATTTGAAGAAAGGAAAGCATCAAAACAGAGGTTATAGCAGCTCCAAAGAAACTAGTACACTCTTTTCAGTGCTAACCTTGCTAATTCAAATTCATATCTTTTCTGTTTTAATATTCCAGACTTCCTTCTATTCCAGCAAAGTATATTTTATACAGTTTTGGAGGATCTATGTTAAAGTTATAAGTAACATTCAAGGAAGTCCTAATTTTTATTCTTTGAGCTCCAATGTATGGTTCAATGTTTCTAAGGCTTCTTGGGCACATGCAGCCAGATAAGGTTTCCATCCCCCCACAAATGAAAGCGGACCTTTTACAAATTATTAATTCCTGATATTGGTAAGAGTTTGGCCGCAGGGGAAATTTCAGCATGATATTGATTGGAGTATGAATTGGCATAACCTTTTGGGAAATTAGTTTTGACAATATGTGCTAAGAGTCTTAAAATATATACATCATTTTGTCCAATTACTCCATTTCTGGGATTTGTAAATAATTTGGTTATAGTGAGTAAAAGTAAATGTACAAGGCAGTTCATGCCAATGATGATGACACAGGAGTGATGTAGAAATATCTTAAGAGATACGGACTGATGTTCACAAGGTATTGTTAAATGAATTATTCTATATAGAGTTTCATTACACTTTTTGTAAAAAAAAAAGTGTTCAGAGAGAACTGGAATGATGAAATTAAATGAAAACAAAATGAAAACAGCAGCAGTTTCTGAGTAGTGAGGTATGGATGGTTTTGATTTTATTTAGGCTTATCTTCCTAATTTTTCTACTATGAATATGCACAACTCATGTAGTAAAAACATTTCCAAAAATATTATTCAAAGACTATCTATATTCCATTAAGTTCTGAGGTGGAAAATATTCCTAGGAAGATGAGAGGGTCAGAACATGTTTTTTTTACTATTTAATAAGAAACTTTTCTTGTGCATATACAGTCTTCCAACTTCTATAAAATAAGATTGACTTGCTGAGATTAACTCCCAGTTTTTTTTCCTAGTGAAGCCCTGGTTTTATATGGATGAGTTTCCTGGCCTGACAAGATATTAAAGGCCAAAGACTATCATTCCCTTATCCTTTTGTCTGTTTCCTCTCACCTCCCCTCATCCATCTTCCCGACCTCCCACGTTCATATAAACAAGAAAATAAGAACACAAAGCTCCAAAGGTTTATTTGAGTTAAATTCTTCTAGGCAGAAGAAGTGGACAGTCATTTACCAAATTACTTTCTGAGCTTTAGGAATACAATAGTGAGGTTCCAAACTCTCTTTTAATCACTTGCTGCTCTTTTCTCCATAACCCCATTCCCAGCATAGAATATAAAATTAATCAATTTAAATAACTGTACAGGATGCTTTCACCTGTTTGTTGCTCAGTGTTACAAATGAAGTTGCCTGAGAACTACAGATTATCTTCTTGGACCACAAACAAAGATTTTTTCCACTCTTTGCAGATCCAGGGCAGCAATGCCGGATGGACTTTGGGTTACATGCTGAACCTGACCAACATGATACCAGCTGAGCAGCCATTGTCCGCACCTCTCTCCCATTCCACCTATGTCTTCCTCATGGTCTTCTTCTCCCTGATACTGGCCGCAGTGATCATCACAGCCTTGGTTATATTTAAAAATCCTTCATATTTCTGGAAAGAAATGGTATAGCAGGAGCAGCTCAAATCTGCTGGCTGGAGTGGGAAAAAACACTTGCCCAGGGAGTACTTTTCTCCACACAGCTGTGTCTAGGGCCTCCTTCCCTACTTGTCAGAGCCAGTCTTGACCAGCATGAAGCTCTTTTGGCTGAAGCCTTTCCTTGGGAGATATTCACTGCCTTCTGGCTCAAGGGTTTTCTAGCAGACATGGTCTCTTCTGTGTCTTGCTGAGCTACCTTCTTTTTCTTTTGTATTCTGTGCTCATGTGAGTCATAAAGACTTGCCATCTTTCATGATTTTTGCTTTATAAAAAAAAAATACTGACTTTGTCTAGAAGAACTGAGAATTTTGAGTCCTGTGCCAGTAAATTGAACTAGTTAACAGAAGAATCTCAGGTACTGGTACAGTCATATTCTAAAAATTCCACTCTCCTGCTTCACATATATTAAGAAAGCCATATAATGCCTTTGGAGAGAGCAGATACATATCTCATTCTGAGGCTGCTCTTTGGGTAAGAGAATGTTTTAGAATAGGCATATATGTGCTAAGGCCAAAGAGTTTTGCAAGGGAATCTGTGTGCTCATGCAGTTAATATAATTCTAAATCCCCTTAATATAGGGATGCGAATGAGTCATATATTCCTGAGTTATGCCAAAGTGCTACCAAGTGTAACACACAGTCCAGAGATTTTTAAAAAGCAGATATATAGCGTGGGCCTTTAGATATTAGGACATAATATGTGGTAGGTATATACATGTTATGAAGAAAAATACAGTTGTAACTCAAATTTAAGAAAATGCATCCTCCAGTGCTTTTGGAGTTTTTATTATGTCATGCACATAACATAAAATTCACCACATTAACCTTCAGTTAGTACAATTCAATAGCATGTAGTACATCATCACTGTTTGGTTCTATACTATTTCATCACCAAGAAGTTGACTGGAAAAAAGACTGCACTTGGGTATGGTCAAACCACAGATCTTTCATTTAACGGCTAAGTGTGCTAAACAACTTGCACCATAAAGATGAGATATCAAGTTTTAAAGCCATGCGACATCTTATTACCCCAAGGTTTAACTTTAGTGCGAGTATGATATTAAGCAATATGCTTTTTCCCTGTCATGGTATTTTCACATCAAAATGTGCTGGGAACTAAGTCTGTAAGTGTTGTTGCTACCTTTGTTACATAAATACGGATTTTATTTACTTTCCCCATAGAATATTTCATAAGGGAAGAAGTGGCTATGGACTTTATCATAGAAACACAAAGAGCCTCTATTCCTCTTGTATTTAAGGATTAAAGTTTACCTGTTTAGCAGGATTGGGTGTTGATGTATTATTCTTACCTTAGTCCAAGCCATCTGTCCATCTCTGGATCTGGAGACTGACTGTTGAGCAGATGAGAGAAGGAAAGTTCTCCCATAAACTAGATGCCAAATGCCCCTTTTCTCTTGAACAGTCAAGTCATACTCTATAACAGTCAGGTGAACATAAGCTTAATAAAGCTGTGGACAAGAACTTTTTTCTTTTCTGCTACTCATAGTTTAATTTGCTGGACCTTGATTAGGGATCAGAAGCCAAATTGGTATATTCCAACTCTCTTTTTGGTGGCAATTGGCTATATTACTATGCTGCTATTAACTGAGCACTGGTGGTATATCATAGTCTATACTCAAGTGCATTGTGTTCATTTTTCATTTCATCCTCATAACAATCTTAAAAAGGTAGCTATTAGCACTCCCGATGCCCATGGCAGAGCTGAAAGTCAAGCCCACATTTTCTGCCTCAAGTTATTGCTTTTTTCTTTTCTAAAAACTTTCCCTCAGCAAGTTGGAATTGGAATTTACAAGTTTCCTTCAGAGAACACAAATCCTTTCTTATTTCGGTCTTTTTGCCAAAGTTCAAAACAAAACAAAACCCTTTTAGGTATTTGGGAGCCAAACTCCACTTGTCAAAATCTCAAATTATGAAGATAATCAGTAGGTGCAACCTAATTTCAGTTCTATTGAAGGGAAGGTTGGTTTTGAGGCAGATGCAGGAGTCTGCTTTGAGCCATTCTGGATGGACCCAAAGAAGATGGGTCACTATCAATTAATTTTAATATTGGATTGGCCAGTGGTTATTATTAATTACTGCTCATCCCTGAACTTTCACCCAGGACTAAAAACTTGGTTCTGGTAACCCTATCTATTTATAAGGCATGAAAAAACCTTAGTTTTTATGAACTCACAGTTGTTACTTCTGTAGACAAGAGAGTGAAGCTATATAATTAGGTTGTGTGTGTGTGTGTGTGTGTGAGAGAGAGGTTTCAACTCATCTAATTCTTAATTAGTAAGAAATATAAATTGTGATATAAATAAAAATTTTTTAAAGTACACATCATTTTAATGTTGTTCATACCTCAACTAATGTCAAGGTCCTTGCAAGAAACAGATACTATACTTCAAACTAAGGAGAGTTTGAGAAAGTGACTGAATGCAAAATAGTCTCATTTCAACAAACAGTCAATATAAGTTATTGAGCTTTTTAATATTAAGTTTTCAAATCTGTAGTGTATATCATTCTTTGTAGTGTATATTTACAAGATATTTTCTTAGGACTAATCACATTCCAAGTTCTACAAGTGGCTAATGGCTAATATATTGAGCAGCATATATGTAAAAATATATATTTAAAGTTAAAAAGACAATAATCCAGGCTGGGGATTTAGCTCAGTGGTTCTGGCGCCTGCCTTGCAACCACAAGGTCCAGAGTTCAATCCCAGGTACA